ACTTGACTTGGCTGGACGTGAAGACTTGACTTGGCGGGATGTGAAGACTTGACTTGGCTGGACGTGAAGACTTCACTTGGCTGGACGTGAAGACTTGACTTGGCTGGACGTGAAGACTTGACTTGGCTGGACGTGAAGACTTGACTTGGCTGGACGTGAAGACTTGACTTGGCTGGACGTGAAGATTTGACTTGGCTGGACGTGAAGACTTGACTTGGCTGAACGTGAGCAGGCGTGGGACCCAGGCAGAGAACTGCAGGAGCAGGCGTGGGACCCAGCAGAGGCTGCAGCAGCATGAGACCTGCAGGCATAAGCCCCACAGCGTGGACCAGGAAGTGGGCAATCTGCAGAAGCGACGCCAGAAAACCAGGATCGGCGGGAGGCACTCGACAGCCGGTCAGAGCAGGTGCACGGCACGATTAGCTGGATCTCAGGAAGAGGCTTGGGTGCAGGGAAGCAGGAGAAGAGTGGGGAGACCAGCCCTACCACCCCGGAGAACGGTGGCGTGCGTAGGGGGTGTAACTCCATTAAAGCTCCAGGATCCGCAGCTTCCATGAAAAAAAAACAGGACGGGGTCAGAAAGCAGGAGAGGAGAAGGGCTCGACCACCACAGGAAACGAACTGGATGCGCCGAAAACCCACCCAGAGGCTTGACCACCCCGGAGAACAGGTAGGATGCGCCAACACCCTGGGCCAGAATCTCCTTCTGCTAAAGGGAAAAAAAAGTAAAAATAAATCTTCCAGGAAGATGTAGACGTGCTCACCACGGGTCCAGGTTGGCCAGTTCATTCTGTCATGGTGTAGGAGGTGGAGACGGCAGACCATGTGTGGATGAGCTGAGCAGGAGGTAAAAATGCAGGCTTCAGTAAAAGTAAAAATGGTTTAATGGCAGGATGGGATGAACAGGAACACCAACAAACAACAACAATGAACTGACAAAGGACAGGGGCAAAACAGGTGGTATAAATACAGAGGGCTAATTAGGGAAACATGGGCAGGTAAACGAGGGACAGGTGAGAACAATAAGGGTAATCATGGCAGGAGAGGAACACAGTCAGGCGGGCAGGGGCAGATCGTGACAGTACCCCCCCCCCCCCCCCCCCCCCTTTAAGGGCGGATACCAGACACCCACAAGGCTATACAACAGGAGACGGGGACTCGAAGACTTGACAGGAGACGGGGACTCGAAGACTTGACAGGAGACGGGGACCGGACGGGGACTCGAAGACTTGACAGGAGACGGGGACTCGAAGACTTGACATGACAGGGACCGGACGGGGACTCGTAGACTGGACTGGAACGGGACTTGACTAGACTGGGCTGGGGCTGGACGTGAAGGCTTGACTGGGCTGGAACGGGACGTGAAGGCTTGACTGGACTGGAACGGGACTTGACTAGACTGGACTGGAACGGGACTTGACTAGACTGGACTGGAACGGGACTTGACTAGACTGGGCTGGGGCTGGACGTGAAGGCTTGACTGGGCTGGAACGGGACGTGAAGGCTTGACTGGGCTGGAACGGGACGTGAAGGCTTGACTGGGCTGGAACGGGACGTGAAGGCTTGACTGGGCTGGAACGGGACGTGAAGGCTTGACTTGGCTGGACGTGAAGGCTTGACTTGGCTGGACGTGAAGGCTTGACTTGGCTGGACGTGAAGACTTGACTTGGCTGGACGTGAAGACTTGACTTGGCTGGACGTGAAGACTTGACTTGGCTGGATGTGAAGACTTGACTTGGCTGGACGTGAAGACTTGACTTGGCGGGATGTGAAGACTTGACTTGGCTGGACGTGAAGACTTCACTTGGCTGGACGTGAAGACTTGACTTGGCTGGACGTGAAGACTTGACTTGGCTGGACGTGAAGACTTGACTTGGCTGGACGTGAAGACTTGACTTGGCTGGACGTGAAGATTTGACTTGGCTGGACGTGAAGACTTGACTTGGCTGAACGTGAGCAGGCGTGGGACCCAGGCAGAGAACTGCAGGAGCAGGCGTGGGACCCAGCAGAGGCTGCAGCAGCATGAGACCTGCAGGCATAAGCCCCACAGCGTGGACCAGGAAGTGGGCAATCTGCAGAAGCGACGCCAGAAAACCAGGATCGGCGGGAGGCACTCGACAGCCGGTCAGAGCAGGTGCACGGCACGATTAGCTGGATCTCAGGAAGAGGCTTGGGTGCAGGGAAGCAGGAGAAGAGTGGGGAGACCAGCCCTACCACCCCGGAGAACGGTGGCGTGCGTAGGGGGTGTAACTCCATTAAAGCTCCAGGATCCGCAGCTTCCATGAAAAAAAAACAGGACGGGGTCAGAAAGCAGGAGAGGAGAAGGGCTCGACCACCACAGGAAACGAACTGGATGCGCCGAAAACCCACCCAGAGGCTTGACCACCCCGGAGAACAGGTAGGATGCGCCAACACCCTGGGCCAGAATCTCCTTCTGCTAAAGGGAAAAAAAAGTAAAAATAAATCTTCCAGGGAGATGTAGACGTGCTCACCACGGGTCCAGGTTGGCCAGTTCATTCTGTCATGGTGTAGGAGGTGGAGACGGCAGACCATGTGTGGATGAGCTGAGCAGGAGGTAAAAATGCAGGCTTCAGTAAAAGTAAAAATGGTTTAATGGCAGGATGGGATGAACAGGAACACCAACAAACAACAACAATGAACTGACAAAGGACAGGGGCAAAAGAGGTGGTATAAATACAGAGGGCTAATTAGGGAAACATGGGCAGGTAAACGAGGGACAGGTGAGAACAATAAGGGTAATCATGGCAGGAGAGGAACACAGTCAGGCGGGCAGGGGCAGATCGTGACACCGCTCTGCACTTAAAGTCATTTTAACCTTTAGTTAATATATCAATAGGACTTGTTACCGATATTTAAGTGTTGTTAGAGCATATTTTGAAAAATGTTAGCTGTGTTTGCATTAAATTAATAACTTTATAGATGGAGATTGAGGTGCGTGGGTTCCATCTAGGTTGTGCTGCCTGTAGCCTGCGAAATAGAGATCAGCCTAGAGCCCCACTAAAGCCTATTGTGGTCTCGTATCCTCTGGAGGTTGTGGCCCTGGACTACCTCACATTAGGGAGGCCCACAGACCGAAATTAGAATATTTTGGTTATGACTGATCTTTTCACACACTATGCATGGGCAGTTCCCACTAAAGATCGGACCGCACAGATGACAGTACATGCCCTATGGACTCGTGATCCAGCCTTTTGGCTGTCCTGCCAGGCTACTTTCAGATAGAGGGGCTAGTTTAGAGTCTACACTAATGTATCAGTTATGCAGGTGTCATGGCATCACAAAGAGTAAAACCACACCATATCATCCTGCTGGAAATGGAGGGGTTGAACGACTGAACCAGACACTACTGCATATGTTGCATTCACTTGAGGCAGAGAGACAGCAGAGGTGGCCAGAACTCCTCCCCGAGCTGTTGCAGGCATACAATAACACAGTTCACAGCGCCACAGGGTACGCTCCATCATACCTAATGTTTGGGCGGCATTTGAGACAGCCAGTGGATGTTAACCTAGGAGTGGAACAGGGATCACTTTGTAATGATCTTGGAGGATGGGTTAGAGACCACCACCAAAAATTATCTTTTGCTTATGAAACAGCAAGGAAAAATGGCGGCTGCTGTCAACCAAAACAAGAAGGTCTATGACAAAAGGGCACAGGCTCTGCCATTAGCACCAGGAGAGAGGGGTTGGATTAGGGACAGGAACAGGCAGGGGCAAGGAAAGTTGCACCCAGGTTGGGCCTCAGAACCACATGTTGTAGTGGATAGAGTTGGGGATACAGGTGTGGTGTATAAAGTGCAGCCAGAGAAAAGGGGAAGAGAGAGAGTCCTTTACCGAAATGCATTATAGTTATGCACCTCCCCAGCAGTGGACAGTATCCAACTGATAGATGAGGTAGGCCCGGGGGTTGAGACGGTAATTGAGCCTCCATTCTATTGTGTTATGCCCAACGTGCCTATTTTGCAGCCTGAAGGACTGCCAGAACTTTGGCGTTCCGCAAGGTCTAACCTTTGTCAGCCACCAGCCCGTTATCGGCCACTGGAGTGATGTATCAGGGACTATCACAGTTAAAATATGGGGGGATGTCACACAGTGGAATGTGTGTTTTCTGTTGATTTAAATTCTTTTATTAATTGTTGGAATTTCTTAAACAGTTTTGTGCTATTGCATGATTTTGTCGTGTGTTGTTGGTTTTATGTGCCTGTTTAGTTTAGATTGTTTTGCCACTGTTGACATGACAGTCACCTGAAGAGGTGGGCGTGACTGGGAGAGCGCACCGGGTGCGCATAGTTAGCAGGCTGATAAAGGGAAGAAGCTGCAGAACTGCGGGAGGAGAGAGGAAAAAGAGACCAAAGAAACAAGAAGGCAGAGGGACTGGACTAATAGGTGGACGTAGCACAGAACGCGTTGGATCACAGGAGGACCGGTTCATCCCTGGCGCGCAGCGACGAGTGGGAGCAACGCCTTTGAATGACAGCAGGGCAGAGGTTGGACCTCTGCCTGCATCCGTGAGTGAACGGCTTCCTCTGTTGTATGCTGGGTGACGCGCCGTATGGGCCGATCCGACGAGAAAGAGATTGCACTGCGTCACAGACAAAAGTTCTGCCCCAGTGTTCTGTCCTTGTCAGGGAGGAGCGGCGAGAGTCCCCGGGAGATCACGCCTGAGACGAGTGCCTGCTGAGAGCGAGACCAGAGACTGCTGGAGTCGGACGCTGAAGCCGGGACGCCACCTTTCCCATCCTGGAAATTCCCTCCACGTGACGTTGTGGATCTGGGAGGAGCCCAACTATCTTTTGGGGTCTTTTTGAAGAACATGTTTTAAACTGCTTTTATGGGCTCAAACTTTTTAGTGGTAGATTTTTAGACGGGGGCTTTTATTTAGTTAAGAAAAGAGGTCGCAGACAAACTTCTGCTCTCTGGTGTCTCTGTCCCTCTGGTTTTGCACCCTCGCTCTCCACCTGTGTCGTTGTGAATCCCTGTGTGACGCTGGAGCTCTGCAGCTCCAGCGTTGCCTAGGTTACATATATATGCCTGATGGTGTAGCTGCCAGCTGAGCAGCTGATGGCGATGACCCTTAATCGGCTCACAGAATTTATATAAGCCACACCCTTCCAGAGAAAACTGCTTGGGTTAATTTGTTTGTAGAGAAGATAACACGGTTTGAAGTATTGAAATTATGTCTTTAGCCTAAATTCACCTCAGCTGCACATTGCCGACTGCATCCCCACGTAAGTTTTGCTGTATTGACGCTTTTGTTTGGGTTATTAGTTTGACACTCTATAGTCATTGTTTGTTTTTCTTGTTCTTGTCCATCACCTAGTCTACAGATAAAGCAGATTTGAGGAACTATTGTTTTGTTTAGCACCCTTGGCCAGCGCAGCAAGGTAAATGTGAGAATATGATCTATTTCTGTTATGACATAGAAGTTGTGTTCACCTTTTATTTATGCTTTGTATATCTCTAAACAGTTTTCACGGTGCAACTCATGGAGTGAAGTCCAAGGAATTGGACCAGAGAAACTAAAAGTTTATGCACCCGTCGAGGCTCTCCGTTCTTTTCTTCATGGTGCCAGGGGCAGCTACAGTGAAAACTTGACCAGTGGCCAGTGGAAAGCCTACCATCATCCATCTTCTGGGAGGACCTGTTGACACAGCAGCTCGAGGCGGATGCAGCTTGGTGCAGAATCACCATAATTGCCCCTCTTTTCTTCCTCCTTAAAGGCTTCACAAACTGAGTAAAGGAGTTTTGTCCTTTACTCAGTCCAACTCCAGGCTTGGAGTTGGAGTTTAAACCAAAGGTAAAGGTTTTCTGATTGAGGAAGATGGACAAACAACCTCTCAGAACAAGCTCAAGAGAACACGAGCTAACTGAAGAGGGTAAAGAAATGCAAGAGCAACAAAATAAGATGTTTCATAAAGCCTTTTGAGGCATATGACACTTGGGAGAGAGTTTGCTAGAGAAACAAGGACACGGCTAAAAACTTTCTGTACAACTGAGGAGCTTGATGAACTGCAGAATAATGTCAAAACTAAACGAACTCTAGTGCACAACACATAAGTCTCTTTGTCAAGGCAATGCCACTAATTCAGATGTTGTCAAAAAATGGATGCTTGTATTGCTTTGTCTGCAGAAACATGTGATTTGATAAGCAAACGTTTAGAGAAAGTGGGTACAGTCTTTAACAACCACCTAGAGAAGGAAGTGTGAGAATGGCATTAAGTAAAAATGAGTATGGCTCTATTCTTGGGACAACAGAAACAGGAACTGTGGTCTCAGACCGTAAGGAAAGCAGAGTAACTTGTGCAACCTCTGGCTCAAAATACTCTAACCCAGGGGTCGGCAACCCGCGGCTCTTTCATCCATCTGATGCGGCTCCCTAGACTCTGCTTGTAAACTAATTAAGGATTATTTAATTACAATGTATTTTATTCATGTTTTCATCTGTAGCCAATTCTAAATTTAAAGATTATCTGCGTAAACGTCACCAGGTCACCTGCTTGTGCGTAATCAAATGTCTCTGAGCTTTCTGAGCTGAAGAGGAGATTCTGGACTGTTCCTCAGACAGGCTCATGGATGCAGTGTTGGAGACAGGAACAAGCGCTATTCAGCCGAAGATTCATAATCAGGGAACATTTTTTAAAAGTCAGGTCTCTGAGAGACTGGGTTTAGAAAACACAGAATCTGGTTCTGTGATGCGTTCCAAGCCCCCGATCTATCTTCAGCTCGCTGTCCACGTTACGCGCGCTGACAGTGAGCTGTGCTGAGCTCAGTGTCCATCTCAGATGTTCTGATGGGAATCTTTTCCTGATTGATGTAGCTACCTCCACGATGTGCGTTAAAATGTCAGCGCATCTGCAGGCTTGAGATTTCTCCGTCAAAATAAATACGGGAAACATCGGGTCAGTGCGAATCCTGTCATTTAACCATTTTACCTTCTAGTGAAGATAGTTGCAAACAGAAACATTAAACCTGATTAACACCAGAGCCACGCACACTGCGCCGTTATCTCCGTCAGTGTAAACGATGGAAAAAACTAATAGCCTTTTCTTGCCTTTTCAGCAATGTTTAATGCAAAGTTTAGTTCAGTACAAAGTTGAATTACAACAGTCCAACGAGACAGAGCCTGGATTTGTATTCTGAACAGTTATGTGTGATGCCTCAAAAAGCGTCACCTGCTCAACTATTAAAACCACTAGCAGGGTGAAAAAAATCAAAATATTGTAGCACAGACGGGCTACAACTTTTGGATCAATTTTAAACAAACTGTTTTATTAATTATCTTCTGTTGAAAGACAACTTTGAGGTACATGAGCGACTAGTATTGGTTGCTGTCGCTGTCACCTGTTGTGATCGGTTAAAGCAGCTCTCTGCTGTCAGAGGGTAGGCCCCGCCCACAATGCTGCGGCTGCTGCGGCTCCCAGTGTTTCCTTTAAGCTGGGCGTACACTGTGCGACTTTTTCACTCGTAGCTCTCAGCTTCAGCTCAAACTGTACGACTTCCTCGCAGGGCAGATCTCACGAGTCATGCGCTCACACTGCACGACCCAGTTCTCGGATGCGACCTGACTGCTCACACTGTACGTCTGGTAGCAACACGTCGGACCTAAAAATATGCTAAAAATAGCAGTTTTTCCTCAACACGTCAGACTTTTTTTGTCTTGTTTTGCCTGTTGTCCTTCGGGAGTGCTGCAGGGGGACACACAGGGATTTATGCGGGTTGGATGAGGAAAACGAAATAAAGTAAATCTGTGTTTTGTGATCAGTTTAATTTGACATGAACACGACAAACACGCTTTCTTGACAATCTTTGTGAGTAAAAAAACGTGTAGAAATTAAAACGAACAACGTGTGTTATTAGGGAAATAGCGGGCGAGCGGTGTTGATGCAGGATTGTGCATGCGCCGTGAGCGGTTCTGATACATTTTGGGTCGCAGCTGCTCGCAGCGCTGCTTCAACAGTGCAATACCCTCACAAGGGACGAGCAAAATATTAAACACGCCAGAAGTCTGTGTGAGCTCACGATTGCTGATCGGTAGCTGGTCACGTGGTTTTAATCGCCTCTCGTAACCTCCTGTACACTACACGATGCTCGGCGCAAAACTCGCCCCGATCTCGTGGATTCTCGCAGGAGTGGAAAATCGGCTCAAAAAAGTGAAAAAGTTGCACAGTGTACGCCCGGCTTTACTGTGGGAAATGGGTAATTATGGCTCTTTGATGGGAAAAGGTTGCCGACCCCTGATCTAGAGGGTTTGAGAAGACTTGAGGTTCTTGGTGTGATTTAAAGTTTATATGTGAATTTCGGCTCCGTTCAAGAAACGTCGGCCGTCAACAAAGTAGGCAGACTTTCCTTCTTCACGTCAGGGGTGGAGCTTCAGGGCAGCGAGCCCCCGGCCAGGGCTTGGGAGGGGCCCGCCCCTGCAATCAGGCAGACGAGAGGGAACGGCGCCTCTAACGCAAACGATGGACAAGCACTTCCATAACTTGTGTTCAGAGGAAAATGAGAATTCCTCTCATGCATTTATTTAGGGTTTATTTAGGCTGCCCCAGTCCAGATCGAGTCATGGTTCCTAAAATATTGCAACCAACTGACTTTAGTGATGTAGTAGGTAGGGTTAGGGTAGGCTAGGTTTGGATGGCGTTATTGGTAGGAGGAAAGTCCTCTGCCATCTGCTGTTCGTCCGTTTTTATTTCTAGATAGTTTGGTTGCTAGCTAGCACGCTAGCCACTAGTTGTTAGCTCGAGGTGCGTAACCTCTCCTGAACAGATTTTGACATGTTGTTGTTCCTTATAGTGCCTTGCACACTAACCACACTAATCTTCAAAGAAGCTTGGAAGCAGGATAAACGTCAAAAAGGCACTGAAGATATGACTTATTATCATCTAGTGTTGAGAGCTCGTAAGAATCCGCCTCGTCACGCTGCCATCTTGGCCTCCTCTCAGACGGAGAACACCGGTCTGAACCCTGAAACTCCAGAGCAGAAAATAAGTCCCACTCCAGCCCTGACCTCAAACACGACTCCAGCATGACTCCACACACACAGAGGAACTGGTGATCAGGAAGTCAACTAGATCAAAGATTCCGATCAGAACCTCAGAACCCAGAAACCCAGTTTTACACGAGGAAACAGCGCCATACTGGTGGCTGGTTTATGTTCAGTCAGAGCGGCTCGATGCCAACAAAAACAAGTAGAACCGCCTCTTAGAACATCTGTTACTGTTATTATTATGCTGACAGAATAAGAAAAAATTATATTTTATTGCTGCTTATTTAACAAATACATCTGATTAATGTCAGATTGGCTGAAATTGCCAATTGTTAAATGAAAAATACAAATGTTTATTTTGTAAACTTTGTTTTATTCAGTACAAGCCAAAGGTTTGGACACGCCTTCACATTCAATGTGCTGTCTTTATTATCTTGACCGTTTACATTGGGAGATTCTCACTGAAGGCATCAAACCTATGATGTGGAGTTTAAAGGTGAAATAACTGAAAACGTGTTTTATTTTCCATTTTCTCAAGAAAAGCCACCCTTTGCTCTGATTACTGCTTTGCACGCTCTTGATGAGTTTCTCACCTGAAATGGTTTTCCAACAGTCTTGAAGGACCCTCCTCCCAACCCCAGAGATGCAGATGTCTGGTTTGAACAGGTGAGCATCACAGTATATCAGAGTGGAGCAAACTGAGCTTGAGATATTGTGGGTGTTATGCACTTTTTCTGCTCCAAAGCATGAAAGTTAATAGGTGAGATTTTACATTTTCATTTAAGAGAATTACTGTTTTTTATTTTTGTTGTTGGCCTCTGAAGAAAGATTTAACCCGCTTTAAAACAGGAACTGGAAAGATAAACGGAGAAGGAAGTGACGCGCCACCATCAGCGTCAGCCTGAAGAAGCCGGCAGCCGTCGGCGAAACGTAGCATCAACAACATGTAACAAAACCGTCTCTGTGTTTTAAAAAAGAACGACAATATGGAATTAGAAATAACGCACAGCAAGAACACACCTAAGAGGATCTGGAAAGATTAGTGTGTGTGTTCTGACCATACGCGTGTGTGTGTGTGTTCTGACCATGTGTGTGTGTGTGTGTGTGTGTGTGTGTGTGTGTGTGTGTGTGTGTGTGTGTGTGTGTGTGTGTGTGTGTGTGTGTGTGTGTGTGTGTGTGTGTTCTGACCGTGTATGTGTGTGTGTTCTGACCGTGTATGTGTGTGTGTGTGTGTGTGTGTGTGTTCTAACCGTGTGTATGTGTGTGTGTTCTGACCGTGTGTGTGTGTTCTGACCGTGTGTGTGTGTGTTCTGACAGTTTGTGTTCACTAAGGCTGGAGACTGAACAGTGATGCAAAGGGGCTAGTCTCTCTAGAGAAGACCACAGCAACCTCCCTGAGCAGAACCCAGTATCCATCACTGTGGCAGACATCCAACAAAGAGCCTCAGGTCTGAAGAACTGGACAGCTCCAGGACCTGACATGACACGCCTACTGGCTTAAGAAGCTCACTGCACTCCATGAGTGCCTGGCAGCACAAATGATGCAGCTGCTAAATGATGGGACTCACTCTGAATGGCTAACTGACTTGGCTAATACCAAGGAGACGCCCTGTCCCCACTGCTGTTCTGCAGAGGTCAGATCCCCGTCTACCAGATAATCCACAAGACTGGCCATGGATAGCGCCTCCTCTACATGGAAGACCTCGATCTCACCCTCCACATAGCGGAGGTCTAATCTTCAGGTGTTTGAATCATGCTTAGTCCGACCGCCTACCTGAGACCATGTTGCCATGGAGACCCTAACAGGGGCTAATGAACCAGACTACACAGCTTCCAGGACGATGGAGGTCCTCAAACCCTCCCACCACGATAAGGTGGCGATTCTGTGGGAGGGATGGTTTTTTTTTTTTTTTGGCTTTTTAATGTCAATTTATTTATTTATTTATTTTAATTTTATATTATATATATGTATGTATATTTTATATGTATATATTTGTATTCTATTTTATTTGATTTGATAGAAAAATATAAATTTTACAAAAATATTTTTTTGTTGTTGTTCTTGCTTCTATTTTTCTACTTGCTTGTGAAATCTACACAGCTTCTCAGTTCTAAGTCACCAAGTGGGCCTAAACTTATAGACATATAGAGTATGTGTACATGTACTTTCTACTAGAGATTTTGTTGTTTTTACTTCCTAAGTGAAAAAAAGTTCATTTTCTTCTGAACCCCCACCCCCCCTCCCCCCACCCCCACCCCACCCCTGTTCATTCCCTTCAGGTATTTTCCAGATGTGGCTGACGCTTTAGAGTTTAGTTTAGTAATCAAAAGATTGTATTTATTTCTAAAGATTTAATTTAATAGCAAAGATTATTTGTTAACTCAGAAGATCTAAAGATCTTTGCCTGTTCAGTGATCAATGTACACCCACTCTGTGTTTATTTCAAGAAAGAGTCAAGTTTAAGATGGTTAAGAAATTTATTACTAAACAATTATAAAACATGACAATTTATAAAAGACTTTGATATTAAAAAGACTTTGGTATTAAAAAAGCAACCCTATGTTTGGATGAATCTAATATGAAGTGTTTGTTTGCGGGTGAATGCAATGTCTCAGAACAGGTGAGCGCTCTGGAGGGCCCTCGGTCGACGCGCAGGTGCAGTCAGAGAGATCAGGGTCAGCCAGTAGTGGTACAGGGCGACATTCAACCTTCCCCCTGTGGTAGGCGAGTCACCAACCTCAGGTCTAGAGGTCACTAGCACCAGCTGTAGGAGTAGGGTCAGTGATGTTGTCAGCCCCCCCCACCCCCCCACCCCCCCCGGCAGGTGGCGTCCCCACCACAAGGTACTGGGCTTCAGCTGGAGTCTCAGCGCCACCATCAACTCCCCCTTCGGCAGGTGGTGTTCCCACTCCAGGGTGCAGAGTCTCAGGTGCAGTGCCACTGCAACCTCCCCTAGGTTAAGGTTGGTTTATGCCTGACGCGGCAGTTAGGTCCAGCAGGACCAGAACAGAACAGTCCCCTGCATCACTGAGTCAGAAGGTCATTAGAGACCCTAAGAAGAGCTGTTTCAGGAGAATGAGCTCTACGAAAACCTGACTGGAAGCTATCATAGATGTTCTGTTCATCAAGAGCAGCTGTGAGTTGTTTAGCCACAACCTTTTCCAAGATCTTGGAGATGAACGGAAGTTTAGAGATGGGTCTGAAGCTGCTATGAAGAGAGGGGTCGAGACTCGGTTTTTTAAGAAGCGGGTGGATTACAGCGTTCTTAAAGTAAGCAGGGACCTGACCAGAGACCAGAGTAGCATTAATTATAGAGAGCACGCTGGGACCGATGGACTGAAAAGCACTTTTAAACACAGATGAGGGTAAGATGTCGAGGGGGCATGCAGAGGTCTTCATAGAGTTAACTAGTTTGGTTAACTCGGGTAAAGAAACAGGAGCAAAGCTATCTAGGATGATGGGCCTGGTTGGAGTCGGGAGAGGCAGCGATAAGGCTGAAGGAGAGATGCTACATCTAACCTTATTGACTTTGTCCACAAAGAAAGACAGAAAGTTCTCACGGTCATCAACAAAGTGGATGGAGGATGTAGGAGAGACAGGAGAGACGATGCTGCTGATGGTGTTAAACAGCACCTTGGGGTTCCCTTTGCTCTGGGACACCAGGTTGGAGAAATAGGAAACCCTAGCGTCTCTGACTGCAGAGTTAAAGGATGTCAGAAGATCTTTTAGGTGCAGCAGATGGACGTGGAGATGGGTTTTCTTCCACAAGCGCTCAGTTTTTCTGCATTGGCGCTTTAGGCTGCGAAGGCTGTCATTAAACCAGGGAGTAGGGTTCACTGCAGGAACTGATTTGGTTCTGACAGGACAGATGTTGTCCAGAATGGAGAGGCAGTGCTCGTTAAACTGAGAAGTTAAGGAATCTGGGTCGTTATCAGAAGAACAGGGTGGATCAAAAGCAGAAGAAAAAATTCTAGCTATGCTCTCATTAAGAAAACAAGAACTAACCATACGGCGAGCAGGAGGTGGGGACGCAGAAACTGACAAGTTAAAGAAAATGCAATGGTGATAAGAAGTAAAAACAAGGTCCAGCGTGTGCCCCCTGGTGTGTGTGGGGCCAGAAACATGCTGGGTAAAGAGTCCATAAGGCTGGAGAAATTCATAGCAAAGCGATCAGAGGGATCATCAACGTGGATGTTAAAGTCACCCACAATCACCAGTCTGGACAGCTTCACAGTGGAGGATAGAAAGTCACTAAACTCCTGAAGGAAAGAACTGTTTGGACCAGGTGGACGATAGACCACAGCACAGTAGAACGGGTCCTTACGCCCGACTTTAATCAGCTGCAGTTCAAAGGAAGCACAGTGACCAGAGGTTGTAGAGCTACGTGGAAGATGGTCTCTGAAAACAACAGCTAGGCCTCCACCTCGACCAGAACCCCGGGGCTGGCTAAGAAAAGAATGACCACTCGGGCAGAGTTCAACCAGCCAGAATATCGTGGGCGATCGTGAACAAACGGAAGGACAAAAGAGTCTGGCGATCATAGGAGATGGTAGCAGGGACACTACTGAAGAGGATTGCAGACGGGAGCAAGGTGGAAAACAGGAGGTTAGTGGTGAAAAGTTTGAAAAAGTGGCCGGTGACTGCGGCTAAGCCAAGCACAGGCGCCATCTTGTTACCGACCGGAAGTGGAAAGAAGGTCACTGGTCGATGTTGTGTTTCAATGTTGATGATTTTCTGTCCACCAATGTAGTTGGAAAAGTGTTTAACTGCCCACATGGTGGAAAGCAAAGCTTTTTCACAGTCAGAGTATTTTAACTCAGGACCGGACAATAGCTTACTAGCATATGCTACGACACGCCTGTCACAGTCATATACTTGATAAAGACCGGCACTGAAGCAGTTAGATGAGAACCCGACCTCAAGGTGGAACTCTTTGTCACAATCAGGAAGAGCCAGGCACGGAGCTGAGCATAATGCGAACTTCAGGTCGTACATGGCCTGTCATTGCTGCTCAGTCTGAGGATGTGCCTTTCGAGTAGACTGAGCCATGCACGCGTGGCCTATTGCTGCATGTCATTCCCTCTTTGGGTGTTGTTAACTACAACGGTGCTGCCAGGGTGACCAGTCTGTCCAGTACCTCCAAGGTCAATGACACCCACAGAGTCTGTGTCATCTCTGCAACAGGATTATTTCACCCGGGGGTGGGAAAACCACCTGCCCTAGGGGAGGTTGACAGTTGCAGTGGCACTGCACCTGAAGCCTGATTCATGCTTTTCCGTCTGCGTCAGGTCCTTGCGGGCCTGCCGGAGAGCTCCACAAGGACGGATGGAGTCGAGCTCTCTTTTCTAAACATCCATCAGTCGAGACGGACAACGCAAGCTTGTGATTGGTCAGGACGCCGCTGTCGTCTACGCCGCTGTCATCGACACCGCCGCCATTGCGCCCTCAAAAACATAAACAGAGCCGAGGATAACTAGCGGCAGACACGGAGAAGCTTGAAGAATACTTCGCAAAAAAACTCTAAAAACGAACGTTTAATTCCCCCGTGACTGGAGGAGTGAAAAGATACGCAGCAAGCATTTTATTTGTGGACGGAAATGACAGAAAACGTGGGTTTAGAGGTGGTGAGCGCATGAAGAGGTGGAGGAGGATGAGAGACAAATCTGTGTTAAGAAGTCTCTTATATACAAAAAAACACAATATAAACGCACTATCTTGGACCGGATACATGACAGGATACCACAGAACAGCGCTACGCCCTCTGTTGTCCTGCCGGGCAATTGCTTTGCAACACTCTCCAGGAGACGGAGAAGTATGAGGGCAAAACGCTTCCGTCAATCCGTGCGCGTCTGTCCCTTGCGGAGCTGACGAAGCATGAATCAGGCTTGAGACTCCGCACCCTGGAGTGGGAACACCACCTGCCGAAGGGGGAGTTGATGGTGGCGCTGAGACTCCAGCCGAAGCCCAGTACCTTACGGTGGGGACGCCACCCGCCGAAGGGGGGGCCGACGACATCACCGATCCCACTCCACTACAGCCGGCGCCGGTGACCCCCAGCCGAGGCCGGCGAGTCGCCCACCGACGAGGGGGCCGAACGCCCCCCGCACCACCACCGGCCGACCCCGATCTCTATGACCGCACCTGCGCGTCAACTGAGGGCCCTCTGGAGCGCACATGTGTCACCCTGACTCAGTTCTTCCTCTGAAAAAACAGATGTGTCACTGTCTATTTCCTCTAATTCTTCATCAATAGGAGACATTTCCTCCTTTTCTTCTAAAGAAAGTGATATTTCATCATTCTCCCCAAAGTTCTCCTCCATAATTGTGGAAAGACCAGCCTGATTCTCCTAAATATTCCTCTCTGTAGTCAGAGACAGACCAGCATCCTCCCCCATTGAGTCAAACACATCCAAATCTGGCGTAGTTACTTCAACTGACGTAAAATCAGAAAGATGCTCCATCTGAGAGTAAATCTGTAAGGCTCGTTACCAGCATTCAGACATCAATTCTGTTTGCTTCACAGCCAGACAGGACACGGTAAAAAAAGAAAGGAAAAAAAAAAGAAAGATTTTTCAGTCAGTGGTTCTGCGTCTTCATGGGCCACAGAGAGACTTGTTTGGGATCCAGAATCCTCTTCATGGAAAACCGATTGTTCAACGTCTCTGAGTAGACTAGTTGCTATCTCCAGGCCAAAACCATTGCTGCTTTCATATTCTGGCTTTCGCAAAGTGGATAAACTGTCTTCTGTTTCTCCGTAAGAATGTTCAACATCAGTTCTGTCTGCTTTCAGAGACAGATGATTCATCCCTTCATCGTCTGTAACCGATGGGTCGATGTCTCTGTAAAGAAGAAGAAGAAAGTATCATTTCTGTAGCGCCTCTCAAGATAAAAATCATGAGGCGCT